CATGTGTAGCAAATGAAGGTGATTGTGATGAAGAATTTGTTGCAAATAGAGGACGGTTCAATCTTTTCAAAATGAGGGCAAATTTACATAACATTAAACAAGTACAAGTTGTTCATTAGTTAGACCTGCATCCATCCCCAGGTAAAATTTTGAGAGATAACTCAATGTAATAAACATTCGTAACACGCCTACCTCATGACTTACCAATATTAGCCTCAAGTTGCTTGAGAAGGTTCAAGTTACCTGAACAGAATTCTGGTGTTATATACACAATCCGATACTTGCCTCTGTAAAAGCAAACAAACAAAAGAAGAAGAAAGGAAGCATACTACAAATAAAGTAAGAAAACAATCACTCCAATGAAATATAACCTAAAATCACACTACCTGATAAATTTTTAAATAACACATTACCCCATTACTAATAACTAAATCTGTGTTATGTATTTATGCACATATTCACATATATTTGCTCTTTGGTTTCTCAATAGCGCATCAAAATACAAAGTGGCAATGACTATCAGGAAGTTTTCAGCACTAAGGTGACATGAGAAGCCAAGTTCAGATTTCTAGCAGTCTAGCCTAAAACTTAAGTACTTGAATTAAACAATCAAGTTGATGGTATATTCTTTATGATATTATCACTCCATTCACATTGCACCCTCTGTCTCAGAACCACAACCCACTCTCCCATGATCAAACCCACAGCAATCATGTCTGGCTTCTGTATTCCACTCTTTACTATAACTTACTGGGTCAGGGATAGACACTGTATCAAATGCAAGACTATTACTTTTTCTGTCCTTAAATCTGAAGGTCAAACCAAGATACAACCAGTCAGTCTCTACAAGTGGCAAGACCTGCAGCATGTGAAAGACAAAACAAAACTGCAGAGCAGTCAACTTTTATTTTGTCACTAGAAACACAAAGGATGCTTATCTCTTCAGAAAGAAGAATGGGGAACAATACAGTGGGTATTGAAAAAAAGAAAGTTTTATTGGATTTTCAATATGCAAGTCCAGTCTCTCCCTAAGGGCTAGTTAACTTCATTAGAGTGGGATATATGGGACATTTCTGTATGCTTAATATCAAATTCAGTATTTGCTAAAGCTAGCTAGAGTTGATTTCTATTCTGGGCAGACAGATTTCTAATTAAGACATTGTTTATGATAAAGGGTAGGGCAAAAATAAATGGAAAGAGGCGGGGCAAGATGGCGGACTAGGCAGAAGGATTGCACAGACCCTCTTCAACAAAGAAAAGGGAAACCAATAAATACAGACACAGAAGATAATCTTGGACCCCTGAGCCTTGAAGGAAAGGATGCAGATTTGGACTAAACCCCAACTAGCAGAAGAATTTGCGTGAAAATAC